CAAAACAAACTACACTCTCAGAAAAAAAGGTACAAAAACTGTCACTGGGGCGGTACCTTTTCAAAAGGCACACCTTTGTACCTAAAGAGTCCATATTGGTACCTTAAAGATACATATAAGTACCTAAAGTGTACATATTAGTACATAAAAAGTCCAAAAGTGTCCCTTTTGAAAAGGTACCGCCCCAGTGACAGCTTTTGTACCTTTTTTCTGAGAGTGTAGTTTCAGTTCAGCAATATTCTTGGGGCATCTGGTGTAAATCACTCTCTCAAGTCATGCCAAGGCATCTCAATAAGACTTGAAATCAGGACGGGGCCACTCTAGAAGATGTATTAATTTATTTATTTTTTGCCTGTTGTTGGCATTTACTGCTGCTTTAGGATATTGTTTTGTTAATCACCTTTAAACTTCTGTTTACCAGAGCTTTAACTGGTAAACAGATGGCTGCACATCCTCCTGAAAAATGTCCTGATAAACCTAGGAATTCATTTTCCCGCTGATGATACAGCAAGCAGTCCAGACAATGAGGCACAAAGTGTTGTGTATGTGTGTGTGTGTGTGTGTGTGTATAAATGTTTTTTTTCTAAACAACTCAACCTGGTTTCATCTATCAACTGGATATTTTTCCAGTAGCACTGTGAAACAACCAGGCATGATTTTGCAAACTTCAGATGTGTAAAAAGGTTTTTTTTTTTGGAAAACTGTACCTCCCTCTGTGGTGTCCCATAAACACCATTTAAACTCCAGAACTCACTGAGTATTCTATGCTGTGGTCTTGAATTCAAAGTGTAGGACACACACTCATAGGGAGACTAGCAACTAGCAGGGTAGGTGATTTGGTTCAAAATAAATTTTTGTTATGCTGGTTGAAAGTCTCTTCACATCCCGATAGCAGTCACTAAGTTAAGTGGTCTAAATGTATTTATATGTATTTATACTGTCTGCGGAAGGTGTAGGACCATAACATTTTCATACAATCATATTCCTCGGTCCGAGGATTTCGATAGGCTGTCCTACCTGCCTGTCAACATTTGTAGTTGCATACCTCTGCGCACCCTGTTCACACAGACATGATTCGTTGCATTCAACCCTCCACCAATGCCATCTCTCATGTCTTTATTTAAAGGGGACCTATAATGCAAATATCACTTTTACAAGGCTTGCTGTAGTTGCTGAAGATATACAATGTCAGCACCAAAGAGGCATTGTAAGTTATAATAATAATATTATAAGGCTAAAAACACATCTCTTCCATCTTTATTTGACTCTCTAACTCTAGCACTCTCTATTCTAATTCTATTCTTTAAAAAAAACCTTGTCCCTTTTAGACTTGCACTCTATTCATTTGCTGCTTGTTTTCTTAAAAAAACAAAACAAAACAAAAACCTAACACTTGCTTTCTAATCTTTTTGTATTCTATCTGTTTTTTGATTTTGATTGCTTCCATTGTCCTCATTTGTAAGTCGCTTTGCATAAAAGCGTCTGCTAAATGACTAAATGTAAATGTAAATGTAAGTGTTGTGTTTTGGGATGCACCAATGAATATACGAGTCATATTTTGTTCCAAATTGCCTTTCTGAAAGAGCTCCTTGGCACTCTGTAAGGCTAATGTTGCTAAAGCTACCATCATCTCTGCCGGTTTTCACTGATGCTGCCTTCACGTGCTACCAGAAAGATTGTAAATAGGAAGGTGGTAGTTCAAAATTGCATATGAAAGCAATGTGAAGTTGACCGCTTGAATTTGTTGACCTCATAATCACTAGTTCAAGTTCAAGTTCTAATACTTTATTGTCATTCTAGCCTTTCAACAAGTGTCCAGCAGAACAAAATTGCATTTCTCCGAGCCCAATGCTCAATGTGCATAATAGTGCAAACATAATAATAAAAAAAAAAACATTATATATATCACAACAACAAATACCATGATATACATTACTATACATCTTAAGGTAGTGCAAAAATGGATGTATTGCACATGATTACACTATGAGTGCATAATCAATACTGCTCAAAAGTGTCAGAACAGAAGAAACCACATATATGATTCAACCAATCTGTACATATATAACAGCAGTCCATCAGGTAGCAGCATAGGGAAGAATAACATAAATGAATCAATCAGTCCATACCTATGTATTCAACAGTCCATCAACCAGTATATCTGTATATGTCAATGTGAATTGAGCAGTCTAATAGCTTGTGGAAAGAAGCTATTTCTGAATCTGGCAGTCTTGTATCGCATACTTTGATAGCGTTTGCCAGAAGGCAGAAGGGTGAACAGTCCATTGGCAGGATGGGTGGAGTCACTGATTATTTTGGAGGCTCTACTAAGGCAGAGTGTCAGATGTAATTCCTGTATAGACGGTAGAGAGGTCCTGATGATTTTCTCTGCTGTCCTTACCACTCTCTGGATAGACTTCTTGTCTGCAGCCGTACAGCTACTAAACCAGACTGAGAGGCTGCTGGTCAGAATACTCTCTATTGTGCCTCTGTAAAAGGTTGTAAGGACAGGAGGGGGAAGGTTTACTCTCCTCATCTGCCTTAGGAAGTGCAAACGCTGCTGAGCCCTCTTTACCAAGGAAATGGTATTAGTGGTCCATGACATATCTGCAGTGATATGCACCCCCAGAAACTTGGTGCTTCTGACTGACTCCACAGTACTGCCATTAATTGTAAGTGGATTATGAACTGTCTGTTTCCTCCTGAAGTCAACAGTAATCTCTTTTGTCTTGCTGACATTCAGTGACAGATTGTTGTTGTGACACCAGATGACAAGCTGGTTAACTTCCTCTCTATAGGCTGATTCGTCCTCGTTGCTAATGAGGCCCACCACTGTTGTGTCCTCTGTGAATTTAATGATATGATTCGAATCATAACTGGCACAGCAGTCATGAGTCATCAAGGTAAACAACAGTGGTATGCGTGGGCTCAAAACACAGCCCTGAGGGACCCCAGTATTCAGGATGATGGTTCCGGAGGTTTTGTTCCCAACTCGTACTGTCTGGGGTCTATCAGTTAGAAAGTCCAATATCCAACTGCACAATGAGGTGTTAATGCCTAGTGGGCCAAGTTTTTTCACCAAGTGCTGGGGGACAACTGTATTAAAGGCGGAGCTAAAAATCAATGAAAAGCATCCGCACATAACTGTTCTTGCTCTCCAGATGTTCCAGGCTCAAATGAAGTGCTACTGCTATGGCATCATCGGTGGAACAATTAGGTCGATATGCAAACTGAAATGGGTCGAATGCTGCAGGGAGTCTGGATATGATGTGCCTTTTGACCAGTCTTTCAAAGCACTTCATTGCGATGGGAGTGAGGGTTATCGGGCGATAGTCGTTGAGTGTTGATACTGGTGACTTCTTTGGCAGTGGTCTGATGGTAGTAGACTTTAAACATGAAGGTACAATGGCTTGGCTTAGGGAAGTGGTACAGATGTCCACAAGTGGGACTTATAAAGTTTGTGATAGCACGCGAAGGCACCATGAGACCAGCTATGTTGTTATTTTTATCTCAGCTCATTTGCATTTCTGTGGGGTATTTTGAGCTAAACCTTCACATGCACACTCTGGGGACATCAGAGACTTATTTTACAGCTTGTTAAAAGGGTCATAATAGGTCCCCTTTAAAGACAAAAACAAGTAAACACTTCAAATGAAACCTCTATCAGCCTACTTTTAAAATATCTGATGTGACAGAATATTGTGATGGTAATGGAAAGGTTGTTTAAACAACAATGCATAGTATGTGCTTTAAAATGTGGTATATAGTACAAGAAGCAAGCAGAAATCTCAGGTATGAGCAGAGGAGAGTCAAGACTAGTAGTGAAACTACTGCAAACAATAGGCCAGCCCGAGGCAATCTGTGCTATAGTCTCATATATTTCTACTAGGACTGAATCCTATACTGCTTTTCATGTTGAGCTACTGCCTCCATCTAGATTGAGCTAGAGAAAGAGAACAGTCCGGTACAGAAACATAGACAATCAAAGTTTTTCAAGATGAAAAAGTGCTGTCAAGTAACTGTACTGAGTTCGCATAACTGTAGGAGCAGTTCAAAACACCCTCAGGTCAAAGGTTCAGCTGAGACAGACAGATGTATGGCAGGAGAGGGTGGTGCCACAGCTGGCTTAAAGGAGCTAAAGTCAATATGACTGTCAATTTCTCACATAAACAATTCCTGGTAAACTCCTACTCAACATTTCACTCGGATATAATAGAGAAGAAGCAATAAGCAAGAAAAGTTGTCACAATTTCCATTTCATGCTGACTTTCGTATAGAACTCAACTGATGTATGGTCACAGGTATACTCATCCAATCAGATTTTAAAGCCAGAATTGCATATAATATAGAAGTTAACAGAATGAATAGATGCTTCTGTTTTGTGACATTCATTATGGAGAGAGAACCCACTTGCCAAACACTTTGTCCTTTACTTTGAAATAAGATTTAATTCTCTTTGCTGTTTTTGGAATAGATATCCACATAATTATTTAGCTAAGAGTATTTGACATTTTTGTCTACCTTGTACATATTTTAACGTCTAAGACTTTTTGCACCAGAATTACACTGTTAGACTTTTTATTGTATTTTTGCGGTAAATTACTGGCAGCACTATTGCCAGTAAGTTACTGTAACTACCCCTTTACAGTAGCTTATCGCAATTTCATTTTACAGTATGATGGCCTTACCGCAATTTCATTTTACATTAAAATACCCTTACCGCAACTTAATTTTACAGTACTATATCCTTACCGTAACTTAGTTTTACAGTATAATACTATTACAGTAATTTTACTGTAATTTATTTTACACTATTTATTTTATAAAACCTTTTGAATATTTTAGATGAATGCCATTGAATTTAATAAATTCCAAATAAGTGACTTGAGTCCATGTACAACAGTATATGTTTTTATTCACTGTCACTATTACTTTTTTATTTATTGTGCTTTATTCTAGAACTTTACAAAAAAAAGTAGAGAACTGAATGCATAACAAACCAAAGCAGAGATCATGACAATAGTGCAACAAAAAGAAATATGGCAACAAGCATCCCAGTTGGTCTTGGCTGCATGGCCTCCATGACAGCTGATCTGAAACAAAACAGAGGGGAAATGTGTTGTGTGGCTGTTTTAAAGTATCTTTTATTTGTGATAGCTCTTGATCCAAGGAATATCAGTGTGTATCAGCTACTGTAACAACATTTGTATTGTTTGTAAATATTAGAGCAAAACAGGCTTTTGAGTCAATCTAGAAGTACTCTTGAAGAATAGGACTATAACCGAAATGAATACTAAATCAAAGTACATTAATGGCTGTCATCAAATTCTCAGAAATATTTCCAAATGAATCAATCCAATTAAATCATATGGAAACTGGAATCAGAATAAGAGAATAAGAATAATTGTGAATCAAACTGAAAACTGAATTGAATCAAGATCAGAACTGAATTAAGAGCTTGTGAATCAAATGGAATTATGAAATCTCTATCAATCCCCAGCCCAACATCTGAGTGATCATTTATATAAAAACAAAATAAAATAAAAAAAACCTTACAAAGCCAAAGATGCCGTGATTCTAGGTGGCCCCTAATAGAGTCTTTGGGGTGTAGTTGGCTCCTGCTGACACACAAGAAAAAGGGAAGAAAAGAGGAAACATCACTGAATATGTGAGAGATATTGCATATCACAGGTGTGGGATGTTTTATCATGTATGTATGTATATATATATATATATATATATATATAAAAGTAATCTGATTACGTAACTTGCGTTACTTGTAATATATTACCCCCAACACTGCATATGGGTACAGTCATTTTAGACACTTCCAAAAATGTTGCAACAGAGATGGAAATACAGTTTTTAAATACATGAATTATGTTTCCATCTTTGTTGCCACAGTTTTGGAAGTGCCTTTTTCTGTTCTAAAGAAGGGGGTATCCCAATACTTTTGTCCATATAGTGTAAGTACAAGTCATTGGTGTTTGGTGATGAGTTTTTGGCTCAAGGTCTTCATTTAAAGTCACACCAGAGGTGTTCAGCTGGGATTAGGACTTGGCTTCTGCAGACCAGTCAAGTTCTTCCACACTGACTGAATCAATAATTTCTTTTTGAACCTTGCCTTATACACAGAGGCATTGTCATGTTAGAATAGAAAAGGGTCCTGTCCAAACTATTGTTATAAAATCAGAAGCACACAATTCTATAGAATATCATTATATGCTTAAACATTAAGATTTGATAAGAAGTAATCAAACCTGTTCATTAGAAGGGGGGTCCCTATACTTTATATAGTGTGTGTGTGTGTGTGTGTATATATATATATATAGCAAAACATCTCTTTAATTATTATCATATTAAGACATTTCTGATTACTCTAATTTGCTGCATAGCATAGCTGCAGTTAATCTAATGTCACATACTGCGTCTGACAGTTAAAACATACTTACAAAGCCAAAGATGCCCAGTGCTGTGGCTATTAAAAGAGCCTTTGGGGTGTAGTTAGCTCCTGTTAAAACAAGCAAAAAAAGAGAAAAAGAATAATCATTGTTTTTCGTCAGTGATTATTGACTAATCACTATATGTTATGAACATGATACATCACAGATCTAGACTGACTGCTAGATTAATCACTTACACAATCACTTACAATCAACACTGAAAAAAAGAGAGAAGAGAATATATACAATAAAATATAAAACAAGAATTAATATGAAACTTCAGAGAACACTGATTTTGCTTCTATTAACAAACAAGAAGCCATAATAAAGAATGCATTTTCATTCTTGAATTAATTAATTACAAATTTCCTTGAATATAATTTTTTTTCTCGTTTATGCACTGGCGTAAATGTTTTATTTACGAGAGCGAACGTGCGCGAGAGAGAAGGCGCACGCAAGAGAGAGAGAGAGCGCTCGTGCTATTTCAAATGACGTCACACACATTTAACTGCATTTAACGGTATTCATTTAACTGTCGAGTAAAATATACCATAACTGGCAGTAAAAAAGTCGAAAAACATTGTTTGTGTAAATACTAGATTGGGTTATACTTAGATAGTCAGTCAGTTAGGACAATTGAATGAGTTTCATGAAAGCAGCAGTTTTTGAGGAAAACGAACAGTTCCCTCAAACTGTCCAAGTAATAGCCTATAATTAGATTATATATTTACTTTCTTCATATTTTAAAATTTCATAGATATTGGTAATGGTTTACGTTTTAAAAGTAAGTAAAAAATTACTTACCACAGGAAAACTCGCAGCTGACATCTGGCGATTCACTCAGAAGGGACGTCCGTTATGCGCGCACCGGAAACAAACCTCAGTTTATATAACCTCTGGCAGGTTGTTGCGGGGCCTTGCATGCGAATAAAATTTAAATTTTGTGGGGTGTAAGCAAAGTTTATATATTTTATTTTTTAATCATTTAAAAAAATTTTTTTATTTCACCACACTTGTGCTTACCCAGACATTAAATTGAGAATGCAGATTCATGTTTTTCATCCGCAGAACAATTTACGGTAGCACTACTGCTTTTGAGCAAACAGTAAAGTACAGCAAATTCCCATATACAGTAAATTACTGTAAATGGCATAAAAATACCCATAATGCAGTGCATATTACAGTAGTTAACTGTAAAACATATATATGGTAATTTACTGGGCTTTTTTGCGGTAAGTAACTGTAAAATTACAGCAAAGTCTAACAGTGTAGGTGGGCAATGACTGCACTCTATGTCTTACACAATTTTGGTGAGCTAAATCAAAATGATTTTCAGTGACAATTCCAGTTAATGCTAGCCATTATGTTGCATGTCAGTAGGACAGTGCGGATAATGATTAAATTATACTTACATTCTCCATAATTTAACAAAGGCTACATTTAATTAGTCCTGACAAGCACCATCTTTTATGAGACAGCATCATGGACTTATTCCTGACAGTGAAGAAGGACAGAGTTAGTGTGCAACAATGTAAGAGAAACATGTCTTCGCGTTTTGCTTGCACAATTTCACCTACCCACAAAATTTCTACTGATGTGGCACATAGCACTCCTAAAAGAGTGTACCCATAACATCAATAATGAAATGTCAATCAAGTGTATATTGTACTGTATGTGCACCCTCACATCTAAGATGAAACTGTCAACTTCCAAACAACCCTCTTTTGAGAAGATTACCCTTATCAAAATGCAGCAACGGCCCCTGATGTTTGCTGGTCCTCTGAAATTGGGATTGAGAAAAGAACCCCTGCTGAGTCCTCAGTGTGCTTTTGCTGTCAGATTTGACCGGCACCAAGGTGAATGTGAAGAGCTCTTATGTTCCTGTTCTATTAGAGAGCTCTAACATATTCTCCACAACTCATATTGGAATAAGCCAGCTGCCCACTTACCCCCTCGAAACAGCTCAACTGTGGCAGGGGATGTCGCACCTACTGACTGCTTTTGCTGAAATTTTGCCTCTATGGAACTGTGGTTTGAGGGCTCACACTTAACCTAGTGTGCCACTTATCAACTGTTCCACATTTTTTCAATGATTAACACAATCAATCGACAAGCAAAGCGACATGATGCATGTGATGCACTGTATGTCAGTGGGTGAACTTTATCAGCACCACCAGCTCTGCTCCCTACTGATTTAACAGCCCTATCAGTTCCCTTCTCAAACTCTGGGAACAACCAGTAGTTTGGGGTTTGTCAATGACACTTGGTGACACAGGATCTCATGGGCTCAGGAGTGACCAATGAGCTTCTCACCACCAATTTACCCTGGAGAACCACAGGCAACAAATCATTTCCAACAAATCATTTCTAACACATTTCGGTTCTCTCTCGTCTGTTTTTCCTCTGCAGATGCAAAAGCACATACATTAGCAAAACAGAGACCGTTGCCCATGGTGACCATTTACATTCACAAGGTCACAGACACGGTCACGCACCAACCCTTGTTTTTCAAATTATTATTTAAATTAGGTGACACTAAATCCATGGAAAATCTCCAGCTTTAACCAAGGTGGTTTTCTAGACATGCTCAGCTATTCTTGCTTTCTATCTGTAATGTGACCTTGAACAGTTGAAAAGCTTGTAGTTACCGGCAGCACTTGAATATAGCCTTTCTCAGTTATTTACAGTGTTAAATGTACACAACCACAGTTTCTATGAAATGAATTTCAGAATTTCTGAGCGATGGAAATATATTATAATTGACCCTTCTCTAAGCGCCACTCACCCTCCAAGACATCCCATAGGAAAGAACAGGAGATTTCTTTGAACAGTATGATTTTCAGAAAAAATATACCCATAAAGATTGAAATTTACATTTACATTTAGACATTTAGCAGACGCTTTTATCCAAAGTGACTTACAAATGAGGACAATGGAAGCAATCAAAATCAACAAAAGAGCAATGATATGCAAGTGCTATAACAAGTCTCAGTTAGCTTAATGCAGTACACATAGCAAGTTTTTTTAAAAATTATATAATAAATAAAAAGAAAACAGATAGAATAGAAAAAGAATAGAGCAAGCTAGTGTTAGAGGCCTTTTTTGCTTTTGTTAATTCTATAATAAATAAAAAGAAAACAAATAGAATACAAAAATATTAGAAAAGCTAGTGTTCCCTTTCATGGGGACTTCGAACTGCGTCCTCTAGGGGTCGCTATGGGGAACGTCTCGTCGTGACCCGTGTCTGAAGCATACATTGAAAAAACACCAACTCGTTGGCCGGCGACAGCCATGACGTCACTACCGGTGCGACTATAGTATAAATAGGCGCCGGGAGCACACATCATTCTCTTCTTCGTCTTCACTGACCG